TACAAGTCTACGCTTTACAATATTTCCTCTTTCCCACACTGTAAAACTCAATGCTGACATCATCGCTCTAGTCCAATCATTTATCTTTATCTTTTATCTTTTATCTTTTATCTTTTATCTTTTATCTTTTATCTTTTATCATTTATCTTTCTCCGAGCTGCTCGTGTCATTCTATCATTCAAACTTTATTTCATTTTTTTTAAAACACAGATACCACTATACTCTGTTATGAGGGGTCATCAAAGTCTAATCACCAAACATCATGTTGAGTTCTTCCCAATAATCTCTCCTTAAACAGCGAATGTGCAAAATTTGTGTGTAAAAATATTTTTTGGACACTTCTCTTAAAGCAGCCATTCACACCGGCAGTTTTCTGGCATTTATTTATTTTTGTCATAAACTTAAATTTTCCAATTGTTTTTCCCACAGGGATGAAACAGATCTGACCAATCAGACCATTGGATTTGCCTACGAGTGCACCTCAAAACGCGCACCAATAAGGAATATAGATTATATAGAATATTTTACCTCAGACACACAGCTAGACAGCTCCAAGCAAATGAGCTCCCTGAAATTATTTGATCCCAACTCTGCCAACAAAGCTCAAACTGCCACACTGACACACTGAAATATGTACGAAAGCAGCCGCGATCCAGTTTCAGCACCACAGCTCTTCCTTTTCTTGTTTAGAAACATCAAGACCAGCTCTACATTGCCTAATGTTGACCTCTGTTTTTTCAAAGTGCATCTTTTAAGGACGAATTTTTCACAAAATCGCATCGTGTTCGGTGTGCGTGTTGTTGTTTTTAACAGCTCGTTCAGTGCGTAAAGGCTTTAAGGGATGACAGTATTTTTATACCAGCGTTGATTCCACGTTCATCTTTATCGTGTAAAAAGGTTGTAACATTAAAAACATTTACTGTATGGTCCTTAGGATTAACCCAAAATAAACAGTGGAGTCCCACTGTGTGACTTAGCAGACTGCATAAATACATATAGATAAAAGGATCACTAAAACTACACAAATAAAAGCAAACAATTAAGAAATTCTAGGAAAATGGCGCTAATGAAGGTCTAAACACAAAGAAATCTAAGATATAATAAATGGGTAGGCTTTTGATATTTTACAAAAAGCCAGAAACACACATAAATGAGATTCACATCCTATCCTGAGATGCATCCGAGATGAACACTGACAGTGACAGTAAGGTTTTGATGTTTTGTTTCAATTACTCACAGATGTGCGATGCATTAAAACCACACGTTTTCTTCTAAACTATGCAAACATAAGTCTTCCATCTTTCATGCAGTTTAAGTGAAATGACTTGAGGTTTCAGGTACACCCGAAACAGATGCTGCTGCTCTCAACATTAAAGAGCATGCCGTGTAGTTTCAGTTTAACGCTGCAGCAGTCAGGTGCTCGGAAGATGAAGATGTGGGCCATAAGCCAAAGTGCTAGAACAGCCGCTGGCATTAACCCCTGCACGTGATGACGTGCTCAATTCAATACAAGAGAGTTTTAATTGCAGTCTGGTGTGTGTTTTATTGGCTGAACACGGAACCAGGTTGCAAAAGTATGTGTGCGTGCGTGTGACCTACTTTCCCCCACTCCTTTGAGTGTCTTATGTTTACACCTTCCCACCAGCTCTCTTTTCCTCAGTAAAGCCCAGTGTGCTCAGATTATAGATCTCGGTTGAGTGTTTGCCCAGAGAAGCACACCCTTGTGTTGTCTCTGTTAAACATTAAACTCATCTCAGGTTTACCTTCCAGGCTTCGAGCTCCAGCGACAGTTCCAGACGTTTCTGTGCAGCTTCCAGCAGGTGGTTGTTCAGCGTCATCATCTCCGTCTTACTCCGCAGCAGCTCGGCCTCCATCGCCTTTTTCCTGCACAGAGGAACAGAAAGAATGACACACTGCACAAAAATAGATGCAGTACAGTCAGCTTCCCTCTTTTTTCCCCCTCTTACATTTTGATTATTTTGCTCTTTAGAGGAGTGTGACTGTGTATGTGCTCACTTTTCTATGGCCTCATCTCTGTCCCGCAGCGCCTGCTGGAGAATTGCACTGTCTTCTGCCACCTTTCCTCCAGGTTTGGACTCCTGGATGGACAAACAGGCAAACATGGCAGTGTTATCTTTCTTTCCATTACCTAACATTTTCCACATTTAATCTCACTAACTTTAGTCTCTCTTATCAGCTGAAATCTGGCCTCTACCTTAGTTCCACACCTTGAAAGTTTCTGTAAACATCTCACAAAGCAAACTCCAGAAAGACTTGCTGATGGTGTTACTTGTAAACTTGTTCGACTGCATACCTCAGCTTAGCAAATGGGTGGAGGAATTAATGATGTTTTTTTCTGAGGCAAACAATGACGATGTTTCATCAGGAGGAGACAAAGATGCCCTCAGCGTGAGCGTTAGTATCTGTGTACAAGCCTCGGGGCTAATGCTTAGAGGATTTTTGTGGTGTTAGTCAAAGACAAATTACTCGTGTTAGGATGGGGTTTTTTTATTTACTGTGGCCCATTTTCTTAAGTGTAATACACAATTTTGTTTCCCAAACAATGAAAAAATATGTATTGATTTCTACAAATGATGTAACAAAGATTCGTGGCCTTTACTGTATAATTTCCTGCTTACTGACTCCCCAAAAGGCCCATTGTTAGCCAAAAACTAACAAAAGCACTACAAAAATGTATTAATGCTTCTTTTGAAGTCACGTTAATACCAGGAGTGCCCAGTGATCTAAAGACTATATAATCACTAATGTTTAAGGTTATACAATGGGGCAAATAAATATTTGATATCTTGCTGAATTTTTTAGTTTGCTCACGTACAAAGAAATGAGCAATCATTAATTTTTATAGTAATTTCATTTTAATGGTGAGAGACAGAGAAGCATCCCAAAAAACACACATTACATAAACGTTAGAAATTAATTTGACTAACGAATTCAGCGAGGGATCAAATAATAATTTTGCTCACTGAAACTAAAATTTTCATTTCAATCATTTGTCACCTTTGATCTTCTGCTGGCATAAAAACACTCGTCTGGGTAACGTGTCCACTGAAACCAGCTCAGACAAAGACGTCAGAGAAGTAGAAGTGCTGACGAGCTTTATTTACTCTGACCTGTTTGGTGTGGCTGATTGCCAGTTTGCGGGCCACGTTCTGCAGCTGGCCCAGAGCGGCGTCCAGGCGGTTTTCCCCATCGGACGGCTCGATCTGGCTGGACTCTGGCTCTGTCAGCGGGTGCAGCAGCCTCAGAATAGACAAAACTTCCTCTGTGACCTGGAATAAAAATCAACGGAAAGGAATTTTTTTTTTAAAACCCCAGAGCTCTGCGGATGTATACCATGGTACTGTGTTGTGGTAAACTGTACCCGATCTTTGTGTTGACTCCAGCCCTCTCCTTCTCTGCTTTCCTGCAGTTTGTCCACCTGGGCCTTCAGCTTGATACTTCGTCTGCGGGACAGCTCCACTTCTCGCCGTACTTCTTTAAGCTACAAACACCATAATTTAATATCCCATCAAAAGGTTTTTTTGTTTCTTTTGCTGTGAAAGTAAATCAAAGCCCGCACCCAAAAACTCCTACTTCACGACATTTTTTACACAATCTGAACAGAAACTGCTAATCTACAATCTCGAGTGAAACAACAGATAAAAAATCCAGTCATACTAGTTGAGAGGTCATCCAACACTAAACTGTTTGATAACGTTCACGTCTTCACACATGAATGCAATCCTGGAAGTGTGCGTACACACAGATATCAGAGCTATAGGACTAATAAACGCTGTTAACATGTGTCCAAAATCATTCATTGTTACTGGAAGCTGAGGTTTACTGCACTCTGACAGCAGAGCACCAAACATGTTTTTATTCTACTTCATTATGTTTGCATGGCAGGACTCTGTGCCCTTTGTGTGTTTGTACCCTTTGATACACTGCTAAGCAACAGTTCAATCAGCCTCCTCCCTGTTTTACAGGTTTCATGTTTGACAATCCTCTTCAAACAGATCTCAGTTCAAGCGCTGGTGCTTTAAAATATTTGTGGTTTTTACACACGTGAATATTAAAAAGACTATCTTGGCGTTACCGTGTCTGAGTAGTGTCCCAGTGTTCTGCGTCTGCTGAGCGGCTTGCCACTGTTTAGCAGGTCTGGTAGGGTCCCATCTAGGTAGTCTTTCTGGAAAGAGTTTGTATTTTCATTGGATCCTGACCCTTCAGAGTCCCTTGCTTCCTCTGAGGCCACCTCACCCATGCTGTCTTTCTCGTCAGACTGTGAGGTGCTTTCGTCGTCACCCAGCTCATCTTCGCTGATATCGTTCAAATTTAATTCGTTAATGAGGCATGTGTTTTTACCAGCCAGCAGACTGGCAGTGTTTCCTTTAGAGTAATCTTTCTGTGTCTCGTCTACAGACTCTTCTGGATCGTCTGTCTTTGTTGTGGCATTTGGTTCAGGTTCTCTTGGCAAAACCGTTGCTCGGTAATAAGTATATTTGTTCCTGAGCGGGCCCAGCTGTCTGCCCTCCAACCTGGTCAGAGAGGAGTAGAGTTGCTCGCTGGTGGTGACTCGAGGTCTCAGCTTCTCATTGAGGACTGAAAAAGGCTGACTGAAATCCATGGCCGGCTCTGTAGAAGTCACAGGCAGAAGTGGGCTCAGTTAAACCATCTGCAGACAGCGCCAGGTAAAAACAAACTCAGGAAAGCAAGAGGAAGTCCATAAAACAAGGTGGAGTGAGGATGACAAATAGAATGTCATTAAACTTGTTTTACCTGAACTGTGTGCGTCTTCACTGGGGCATGATATGACACGATGTGATGTCAACGGAGGCTGTGGCTGCAAGTGGCCCGTCTGAGCTTTCTTCCTCCTTTTTCTGCCGCTACAAAAACATGACGTGCAAACATACCACAGCAGCAGGGAGACAAATGGGAGGAGGGCTTCTGATACAATCTAGTTATTCAAACCTGACGCATGAAACTTGATTTAAACTCTTCCTTTATCAAGAAAGTCACACATACATAGAACATAGCTACTAGGAGTAGGCCAGTAAACAGAGATGAAAATAAATTACACAACAGCATCAGCGGAAGTGAATGTTTGCTTGTGAAAAATCACACTTCTGATAAGTCCCTGATTTATTTTTGGTACTGAAAGACTTTGGGGAAAACACCAGTTAGAGTCATTCCTGATATCTGAGGTAAAACGGTTTCTGTGACAAACCTCCCACATGCCTGTGCAAAGATGAATCAGTAAGTGACTGAAGGAAAAAAATAATCATCGTCAGTTATGTGCATTTAAAAAAGCTGTTTCCATTACAGTTCACATGGTTCTGCGATTCACCAAGATGCAGCAAGGAAGTGGTTCTTGATTGTGTTTTTCCCACTAAGCCAAGGCTGTTTTGAGCAAGAAGTAGGTCGCCTCTAAATTAAATATTCAGCCAGATAGGCCCACTTTTTTTTTTAATAAATTCTCTTAAATATGGAATCAGACATCTCTATTTCACTGTTTTTAAATGAGGTGCTTCTGCTTTTTTACCTGTCAGTGCCACAATTAATCTTGTAATTTGCCTTAATTACCTTTTTTCTTTTTTTGCAGTATACAACTACCTTATTGTGGCTAATCAAAGTCAGTAGAATGACAGACTGAGGCACATACCTATCTGAACAAATGTTAGAAATTGTTTAACTTTATTTATGCCTCAGAGTTTTAATCAGATATATGTGACACAGAAAGTTTTCACAGGACTGCATTCAGTCACGCTAGAAACTAAATACACCCTATTATCTACAATCCTGTAGAACCACATCTAACGATGTGGAGGAATTTTGGCTCACTTTTTTACTAATGTTGTTTCAATTCATTGAGGTTTGCGGGCATTTCGTTATGCACACCATTTCAATCATGTGCTTCCAACACTTCCTCCTTTCTTTTTCAGTCATTCTGGTGTAGATTTGTTACTGTGTTTGGGATCAATGTCCTGTTGCATGACCATACAACCTAGCTTTAGCTGTTGGATGGACGGCCTCACATTTGAATCTTTGGTATATAGAGGACTAGCCTGTGGCTGCAAAACAAGCCCAAACCATCACCCCTCTTCCACTGTGCTTGACAGCTTTTACTAGATGTTTCTACTAATGTGCTGTGTTTGTCCATTACGTCACATATCTCCAGTTTCACCTTGTCTGTTCAAAGGACATTTTTCCTTTTGTTCATATGCAACAATGCAAACCTAAGCTGTGTTCCCATCTTCTATTTGGTTGGAAACCCTTCCAAACAGGCCAGTATTTTTCTTATTGTACTGTCTTGGACTTAACATTTAACATGCTGAGGCCTGTAGAGTCTGAGATGAGAGCACTTTGTTTTTGCGTATCATCTCAGAGTATTGCATTGTCTGACCTTGTGGTCAATTTGGTAGGAATTCTAGCAAAGATTGTAGCATTAAGCTAACACACACCTACTTAGTTAATCGAGTAAATTTGATAAGCAGCACCTGGCTGCTACTTATCCACTTGCTTCCTGTAGAAGCTGTAAGGCCATCTGCATATAGTCCCGTCTATGAGCCTGTTGCAGCTAGCGATTGGTTATCTTAGCTTAGCATTTTTGATCTCCAGATCAAAAGCACCTCAGCACATTTAAAGCTTTCTAATTAACTCTTTATGTGGCTTAATTCTCACAAACAGAAACTAAAAGAGTAAAGACTTACGGACAGCTTATTATTATTCAATAATAATAATAATAATAATAATAATAATAATAAAATTTATTTATAAAGTTGCCTTTCAAGACGCAAGATAAAATGAACAAACAGTGGGTTCACAGTGAATATGCACATTTGAACAGATGGGTTTTGAGTTGAGATTTAAACTGGGGGTAAAGAGTTCCACAGCCTGGGAGCAGAGCAGCTAAAAGCTCTGCTTCCCATGGTGCTGAGGCGGAAAGAGGGCACAGCGAGCTGGATAGAAGAAGAAGATTGAAGTGAGTGGGCAGAAGAGATAGTGCTTAACAGGTCAGAAAGGTAAGGAGGTGCAAGGTTATGAATGGCCTTGAAGGTGAGCAGAAGAAGTTTGTATATTATCCAGAATTTTACTGGGAGCCAGTGAAGTTCCTGAAGAAAAGGGGTGATGTGCTGGTAGGAGGGGGTTATGGTGATAACGCGAGCAGCAGAGTCCTTAACCAGTTGAAGCTTATGGAGGGATTTATGGGAGAGACCATGCAAAAGAGAATTGCAGTAGTCAATACGGGAGGTAACGAGACTGTGGACAGGAATGAACGTAGACTGGGTGGAAAGAGAAGGATGTAATCTGTTTATGTTGGGTAGATGGAAATAGGCAGAACGGGTGAGATTATTGATGTGAGATTTATAGGAAAGTGAACTGTCTAGGATGACACCAAGGCTCTTAACCTGAGGAGAAGGGAAAACTGTGGAGTTATCGATAGTGAGTGAGAAATGGTTCAACTTCAAAAGGTTGGATTTGGTGCCAATAAGGAGGATTTCAGTTTTATCCTCATTGAGCTTTAGAAAATTAGAGCTATTTACTAAGTTTTGAATGCTTTCTGCTGTTTGTAACTGATGTAATAACTGAACAGTCTGGCAACACATAAGATGAAAAAATATATATTTATGATTAAACAAGATTTTTTTTTTAAAGACAGACATAGTAGGTGTTAAAGGTTTGTTACCGTTTGGGTGTGAATACTTGAGGTGAAATGTGGTTTTGACCAAAGAAATTGGGGGGGAATATTTGGGTTGGAAGCTGATATCTACAAACAGTTCAATTCACAAATGTAAATCTCACACTAGTATTAGATTGTTATACATATTGCTTAAAATGTTCAATTAGTCAACATAGTTATTAGGTATTGTGAGCTCAATAATAATTATAATAAGCTGCAAAGTGAACTTGGCAACGTCCCAAAGAAATACTTGTTTCACATTCTTTCTCAGTGCTGCTACAGATAGTTTTGTCACCACGTTTATTAATGAAGTCCTCCTGTGCCCTGATACATATGTCAGATTTAGATTTTTCTATTCTATTTTTTAATATTATGTATTTAATGTGTATGAAATAATCCCATGACTTTGCTTTCTGATATCAAAGTAAAAATATTCAATAAAACTTCACCGTGCTCCAGAAATATTTGTGCACAATTGCTTCACATTAATTATAACGCATTCCAAGAAGCTGCATCGTCAGACAATACCTGTGGAGGTGCTCTGTGACAATGTGAGGCTATTCATATGCATTCATTTGCAGGGCGGTCCCTGTTGTATTTCCAGTGAATCAATTTTAAAATGTCAGCAGTGTTGCACCTTTAATTTTGTATTGTGTAATTATGTTCCAATCAGAAACGTCAGTAAGCAAAGAAACACATTTAACTCTGTTCTGTATTTTGGAGTTATTCTCACTGTTTTGGTAAGGTTCAATAAAGGGGGTGGAGCCTTGTGGAGCACAAATACCAGACTGCACAGCACCATTTGTTTTTCCTTGTTTTTAACCAGGAAGATTTAAAAAAAAAAAAAAAAACCTTTCTGCAAAGTCATTCAGAATTTGGTAACAAGACATCCTAACATCTGCCTCTAACTTTGCTCTCCCCCTCAAGAAATGCAGCTTAAAACAACCTCTGCACAAGCTGTTTGATAACAGTTTGTCCATTTTATATTATTAGAATAACCAGGACTCAAACTGATTCTTTGGTCAGGGCTAAGACACTGCATCACAAAGTCAGAGGTCTTGGCTTTATACTGTTACTGTATTTAACCAAACTGGAGTTTTTCAAAATATTTCTGGTCTGTTTAGCAGAATGAGCCCAATCAGTCAGACCCTCACTATGGGAAAGTAAACAGAAAGCCAAGGACAGGATTAGAGAAGCCTAGACTGAACAAACGGACCAATTTACTACCCAGTCACATAGAAACGCTCAACAAAAGACACATCCCACCACATGGAAGGAAGACTACCAATGCTGGCAAAGAGTGCCCCACTTGTTCATTTCACTGGATATGTTCAGAGGCATGTAAGCAAGTCTCTTTAGTTAAGCCTGTGAATCGTTCTCATTCAGTTCACAACAGCAGCCAACTCACAGAGCTTTATATCACAAGGTAAAGACCCCACAATATTAGAGATAGAAACCCAACAATCAAGCACTAGCACTATGCAGCAGAAACAGCTCAGGGATGGGCAGCCATGTGCTGTGACCAGTGAGGAGAAAGAGAAAAGAGGGGCACAGAGGGAGCACACACAGCAGTACTCCGCGGGGATTATATAGTACAATGAGGTCTTTTGAGAATAAATGTGGGATAAATTCAGGAATTCACAGGGATCCACTGAAGAGAAGGTAACGGGGGAGAAACATGATCTCGCAGTACTCACGCTGCAAGGTTGCAAAACGAGGAATTTCAACAGTCCAGCCTAGAAAGAAGGAAGTAGTTTGGAGAGAGCTGAAGAATTTTAGATTGATGTTGGAAGTGTCCAGAATCGACAAGATTAGAAATGTGAACACCAGAGCTCAGGTTGAGTGTCTTGGGAGCCAAAGGTTTGAGAGGCAAGGATAACAAGCTTGGACATTTACAGAAGAGGAATAGTGGACATACTGGACAAAGAATGTTGAAGATGGAGGTGCCGGAAGAAAAGAGGAAGACCAGACGGGAGATTCATAGATTTAGAGAGATGTGAGGGATAGGGTGAGATGGAGGCAGATTGTCTCCTGTGGCGACCTCTAAAGGCGAAGTAGCAAATGCATGGTGTAATCATTTAGCATCTGGCATGATGTTACTGTTACAGGTAAACAGAAAGTTCTTGAAAAAAAGCAATAAATTCTTTTTTTCATCATTTTAAAAAGTATTTTTTATTAAATGTTTCATAATGGTAGATTTCCCTTT